CTCTGTGGGTTTGAGCGGTTAGACTTAACCATAGCCCAAACGTCACAGAACTCTTCACCGATGAAAGCTCTGGCTGTTTGGAGACAAGTCTCCCCAACTGGAATTCGTTCATTCAAATGTGAAGGCTGAGGAGATGGAGCAGGTGGCAGGCGTTGACTCGCTGCCCATGTGCTGCCGCAGCGCGCTACAGATGACCTGGATGAGCGGCTGCAGTATGCTTATGAAAGTCCTTGCTGCCTCAAGGCAAGTCGCCGACAATTGACAATTACAAGTCGTTTTAATGCAGGCCGAAGTGGGGAACAGGTGGCGGCTGCTGAGGCATCAAGGTGCAGCAGCAGAGCGCTGTGGGGCTCATCCTCTGGTAAGTTCAGCTCATTTGGATTGGCATTTGAAGCGTGGTATGTTGAAGGGATGTCGTCAATTCGAGCAGCAGTTGTGGCAGGGGCCTTAGAGTTCTAAATCTGCAGCGCTGCTTCCGCATGGTGGAGCACAGTCAGCTTCTGACATAGCTGCTCACAGGAGTCCAGGGTCCCGGGCAATGTGTCAACGCCTTGCTGAAGTTAGAACATCTGTGAAATTTACCTATCTGTCCCGTCTGTCCTATCGGAGGCTCTAAAAATCACAACATCTTAACATATCATGCCAAGAGATTGTCGGCCGAAAAGCCGGACATTTGTGACATCTCCATGTCATTCCCGTCGGAGTTGTTTGCCCAGTCGGTTGTCTAAAGTAGATCAATTTCGCCCAACACGTTGAGTGGGATGGTCGCAGAGACGTTCATGTGCAACTCTCACCTTTCTTTTCGTTCCTCTCGTACGTACCTATATTGGTCTCTAATTTGTGCCTGAAGAAGATTCGAGCCTTGCATCAAGAGTCAGATCTTTTTGAACAGACGATGTGTTGCTCAAGTCAGGACAGCGAAAGGCCCGAGCATCGTTTCTAAAGTTAGACTGTTATAAATGACGCATATCTCAGCCAGATATGCGAGCGGCCGTGTACCGTGGACATCTGTCGGATTCTTTTACCTGAAGTACGTCAGCCTATGTCAAGGATCTCGACTCGACCTCTACTTCCACAATGTTTCAGATGAAGTCAGAATTGGAAGCAGCCGTCTACCTCTCATTCCCGCCCAAAGAACTCCAGCCTTTCTGTATGAAGATCCGGTGCTCTACTTCAGAAGTTGGACTGTCTTGGACGGACTGAGCTGCTCAAGCCAGGACTGAAAGCAACAGTCCTCCATGTAAATTAGCCCAAGTTTTTGCTAAAGTATGCCGGCTTTTCTTAGACAATCGGGTGCTCTACTTGAGGAATCAGAGTGTTCTAGACTCCCCAATGAGCTGCTCAAGCCAGGATTGTGAGCGACTGTCTCACGTGTACGTCAGGCTCGAGTTGTGCCCCAAGCAAGCAACCTTTTCCACAGAATGACCCCGCGCTCGTTTGCAGAGGGTGGATTGTTCCAGACGCATGGTCAGCGCCCAGCCAACCTGATAAGAAACCCGCGCTCTGTATCAGAAGCTAGACCATTTTGGGAGCCCGATGAGCTGGCTCGATGTAAGCAGCTGTCTTCCATGTTCATCAAACTCAAGTTGTTCCCAGTCCCTGCCATCCTCTCTCTGACTTCTCTTTGCTGTTTTTTCTCCGCAGCGGAGCAACTCAGGGATCTCGGGCCTGACGCTTTGGACCAGCGCCAGCAACAAGGAGACACTGCTCAGCTCATCCAGTTCCCAAAGAGGAAAAACCAACTACTTGTGAGTCATGTTCGATGTCTTCTTGGTCTCCTTTCCTCCTGTACGGCTTCCCCTACTCACGAGCTGATTTTCGCTTGTGGGTCGACCATCCATTATTTATGAGCTGATCTTTGCTTGTGGGTCGACCGGTATACAAAGAGGCCAACCCACGCTCACAATCAGGCAGAATGCTAGCTTTTGGGCACATGTCATACATTGGTAGGCGTGGCATGTCATATATTGGTAGGGACCGGATCTTGCAAGCAAGTGAGCCAGTAGCGGTCCTCCTTCTGCTCGATACCAGTTCCGCTTTACCAGGTTGTCTCTCGTTTTTAATGCATAACCCTCCTCTAGGTTGCAATAGAAGCATTAAAATGGTCTTCGGGGTAGCTGAACTGAAATGTCGCAGTAGACAGGAGCTCAAAGATCCCAAGGTCGCCAGGTGGGGGCTGTCGATCGTGCGATTCCAGCTTGGTTGTTTCCAGAAAAGTCTTTACCCGTAGCCTCTCATAATAATTTCTGACACCTCCTACCAGGGGGCTCCAGACGCCATTCCAAAGCCCCCTGGGCATTTTTCCATGACCTTTCTCTGCCCCTCCATCCATTCTGTGATTTGCCGGCCGTGCACAGTCCCCAGGAAATCAACCGACCTTTCTGCGTCACAATGTGCAGTGGCCTCCTCAGCAAGTCTTTTTGCTTTGCGGCAGCCACACAAGCACGAGTCGACTTGCTGCTTCTAGATCCATGCCTGGTGCTTGGGATTAATTGGTAATAATAGCTCTTTTTTGGTCATATTGGTTAATGCTACGATCGTCAAGAGGACGGAGAAGGAAAACACTGTTTTCTGACACGAGTAAGCCTGATTCATCTCATAATGGAAATTAAATGTGTGATTGGCCATTTTAAGTTATGGCAGACAACTCAAGGACCGGACAAGCTCCGTTCTTTGTATCCTTGTTAGGAGACAAAGTGGCGCGCCACCCAATTGAAGGTGGTGGCATTCAATGACAAGTTCACGTTTGCAAGTACCGCGAGGGAAAGCGCTCGGGAGGTCAGCACTCTTAAGTAGGAAGTTGAAGCTCCAACAAGCTGATAAAGTGGCGCGTCTGCCGCACGACCTGCAGGCGTGGGGAGCTTGTACATCAGCGGGCGCATGCACAAACACGTGAGCGAACATCTTTGCGGGGTACAGGGCCAAGCTGCTGAAGGCGGGGAGGGAGGTTGCCACGAACCAGGCAACGCTGGGCCCCTTTTCTAGACTTCATCGGAGCCAAGGTCCAGCCCGCGTCAGGCAAGAGTCACCTGATAACTCCTAAGGCTGTTCGATACTTGCTGCTTCATGTGATCTCTCTACCTATAAGTTTGCTCTTGAAAGCCAGACTTGGATCAACTGGTGAATATGAACCAGTCAAGCGCCATGTCCACGTGCGCAGTTCCGAACTGGTGGTCTGATCCTTGCGGGGGCAGTTTCTTTGGTCTGCCGTGTATGGAGGAGGGCAGGGTCTTGAGAATCTCGTCCAACCCCGGCTGCCGACCCCTCCCCTCCTTTGACACCCGCAATTCGATGTTCTGTCTGTCTCCCCCTCATGAGCAGTGCATTTGGCAACTTGTCAAAACCCTCACACGCGCCCAGGTAAACTCCCAGATACCCCCTTGTCCCTGGGAGCCTGTGCTGTCTTTTCGGACGGTGCATCAGCCTCGATCCTTGTTCAAATGTCGTCCAAGGCGCTCCCCATCTTTTCACCAATCTTGACACGCAACCGCTTCAACGTCGGTCGACCAACCTGCTCCCCACCCACTGCTTCGGCCAATTCTGACCATCCCCTGTTTTCACCAACCTCCCCACTCCTCGCCTGAAAGTCCAAACATCTCCTTTCCAGCCAAAATCGCAGCCTCTTTTTCAAATTCTGCCCATCCTCCTTCTCCGGGCCTCTACGATCTACCCCCCCTTCGGTTTCCCTTTTTTCTGCCCCCGCTTCCTGCATTTTCTCACCCACCTGTTTACCTTCACTCACGCCTTCACCTCTTCCGCTTTCCTTCTCGAGCTCCGTCCTATCACCAGCTTCCACAGCCAACCTCCCCCCCTCAGCAGCAGGCATTGCCCCCTTGCTCAGCTCTTCTCCTGTTGAGAACTCCCCTTGACCCGACGGCGCTGCAAGAAGCTCAGCCACCTCTTGAGCGTTTCTTGCCCTTGGCCCTAGAAGCTTCTATTTCCCCTCTGCTGCGGTGGTTCTGATTGCTATGTTCTTGCCGTTTGCAGGTGATGATGGAGGGCAGCATGCAAGAGGCTACCTTAGCGGAGCCTGAGCAAACAGTGTGTGAATTTGAGGGCACTAGAAGACCAGTTTTTGCGGAAGAGCTGCCTCCTGCTGATGAAGAGATGCTCGAGAAGGAGCTATCCGAGTTGGACACCCTTGGTCTTGTGAGTCCCAAGCTAGGATGAATTTTTATTGTAAGAGTTGCTCCCGTGAAGCGCACTACCTCATAGCTGCTGTTAATCTCCTCTCACTCTTTGCAAGAAGGGGGTTCGGTTTTTAGGGTAAGATCTATAGTCGATGCAACGCTTATATGCATGTTGCGCAAGTCTTGAGCATTGTTGGCGCTGTCAACTGAGGGCTCTCATGCGGCTTTTGCAGGGATTAAAGGAAGGGGGCGATGCTGCAGGACTGCTTGAGGCAGCTTGTCTGCCATCCGGCGACGAGATGACGGTGAGGACAGAAAATCCTATTGAAAAAAGCTCTGAGCTCAGTGCTCAAACTGCGTAGACCTCTAATGCTCCTTCTCAACTTGCAGTTGAGACAAGTTCGTGGGCTAGTACCTAATATATTGACGGCTGCGCGTGCACGTCTCATCCTTGTGCTCCCATCCAATCGCCCCTGCTCACTCGGGCACCGACTCATCACGTCTGATTTGCCGGTTTGCAGTTGAGGGAGGGATATATGCCAACAAGCCCAGTCTACTCCAGCATAGACTTGCCCGAGGAAGATGAAGTTCGGGCACCCAACAAGAAGCGGCCGCACGCTGTAGCTTCTGGTGACGCCGTTCCTGAGCCCGAGGAGCAACGAAGCACATCAAGAGGGCAGCGCCGCATCAAACTGTCTTTACAGCCGGTGAGCGTGGCCTCATGGATCGATCATATTGCACGGGAGGGCTTTTTTTGATCTGCACAGCGTTTTGCTTAATTGACAGTACAGACAGGACAGACACGTATCCATGTGGTGAGCAGTAGGATTTTTGCTGTAACTCTTCGAAGTTTGTTGATCGCTTAGCGCTTCCGCATGTGGTTGAGCAGCGCCCATTCAAAGATCGTTTCTCTTGAATCTTATTGCATCAACTTCCTTGTCTGACGTGACAGACATTACAGACATGTGCATTCCTCGAGCAATAGGCACATGTCTGTGTGACTGAGTACTGGATAAAGCTGACAAGCCTTCAAAATGCTTTCTTGCGCAGCTTTACAAAGTCTTTGAACTGACTCCGCCAATATTGTCTGCTCGCTGCAGCAACCACCGACGTGCGATACCCTTCTAAGCCCCATGCCGGTCGATGAGCCAGCGGCAGCGGGAACGGAACAGAGCTGCCCTACTTTTCCTGGCCAGCCCCCGGAGGTCAACGACCGGCCTCGAGCAACCAGTTTTGGTGCATCTCAGGTGCGATTATCTTTTTATGGACGGGAGCTCTATGACTCTTGCTTGCTGATCGGTGGCTTCTTGAGCAAATTTGGAATCTGTGCACTACTCCTCAAGACTCCTTTGCCTCTTTCTAGGCTTACCCCGCGCCTTACGAGCGTCCCTCCCAAGCAACTGCGGCCGGCCTGGCTTGTAAAACGCCTTTGATGTCTCCATTTGCCTCACCTGTCTCCCATCCTTGTTGAATCTTATGAAGCTGAGCGCGCCGTCAAGAGAGTCGTACACGGGCCACTCAGGGTCTTCAAAGCCTCTGTTTCTGTGGAACTCCGCATAGAGAGCTTGCCTGTCAGGCCAAAAGGTTTAATTGAACTGTAGGAGGTCTAGGTGATGCTTCAGTTCCCAACCGCTTCCCATGACAACACCCGAAACGAAGCGACACCTCTTTAGATATGTGTCCTCGTCCAGCTTGCGCCCGCGTTCCATACCAAAGAGATGCCTGCAGAAAGGTGGTGGCAGGAAGGGACACGCTAACTCTGGGTTGCCTTCTTCCATAGAGCTTGGTCTTTGAGGGTGATCATCAAGGTCCTAAGCCTGTGATTGTGCGGCTTGGAGGAAGGGGGGCTACATGGCCTCCACGACCCACGTCAATTCGACGCCTTCCTCCTTAAGCGTAGGGCAGAGGAGGCAGCGAGATCGGATTGAGAGGCGGGCTCTCAATCCGTGCGACCGCTGGAAGTGGCGCCCCCCAGCGATGCTCTGATGGAGAGCCCCACACCCCTTCCGGTTGCAGCGGGATCCCCTTCCAGCATGGCAGACGCTGCGAGCGGTGAGCGCTGTGTCCAGAGTTCAGATGAACCTCGGAGGGAGGAGGATACAGGGGGCGATGCCGCAAACTCGGGTGGCGTCGACGTCTCGATGCGTGAACCCTCTCTGCAGCAGGCCAACGGGCAGTCGCAGCGGGAGTGGGAGATGTTCGGGCCTCCACCGCCGCCCGACGATGACGGCGACCTGGGTTGGGAGCTGGAGGACGAGTTCAAGGATAAGTGCGTGATCACAATATATCCTCCGAGGAAGTCAGAGCAGGTGAGAAGCAGCTGCAATGCCCCCTGCTCTCTACTGCTGTGCAATGCGAAGCCGTATGTGTGATGTTGAGTGAAGACTACTGCAAAGACGTAGAGTAGCCCAAGTTGCTTTTAGCAACATCTTTTTTGGTCTTTGTGCTGGCTGGCCGTCCCCAAAGGTCGCCAAGGTCTTCTTGCCGAATGGCTAGTAGTATGGGGACCGTACTACTTCCCGTACTACTATCCAAAGTTCTCACCAACTCTTTGAGCAATTCGTGTACATTTCTACAAAGTCGCAGTGTTTTTCGTTCAATGTACACAATCTGGTGTTGCAGCCGTACAAATTTGTACACGAAAAACACAGATTTTCTCGTGATATAAACGAATCGTTGTACAGCCATGTAGTTATCTCTTCTAGACACACAATCCGTTGTAATCTATCCTATTCCTCTTATGCTATTCATTCTTAGCGTACTGTTCGTTCTTGTTTCAATGTGGGCTCGTTGCAATGATAGCTCTTCCTCACTTGGCGGTCTTTTTATTGAAGGCCCATCTTTGCTCGACCAACAATTAAGAAACGTGTGTCTCTAAATTTCGTAGACTTGACTTTCCGTCATATCTAGCAGAAATTGTGAGAGTAATATACCGAAAACAAATGAAAGCAAGAAACAAGAGAGCGAGTAAAAGCCAGGATGGTTCACAGGGGAGTCCTTTTGCAGCCTTTAAAGCCCTGCTTATGCTTTTGCAGGGTGTTCGAGAGCCAGCGGGCGATTTGATTGAAGAGCCTCCAAGAGGTCGGCAATCGGAGACCGACATGCAAGAACAAGCAGAGGTGTGCTTTTCGTGGCCTTTGTAGACTTTTCTCGTCTGGCTTTTGTCTAAATTGCAGCTGTGCATTCTAGAGAGCTCAGATATGTGCTGCACACGAGTCGCTTGATAGAAAAGCAAACCGCGCTGCCTCTTTCTGCGCTCGTATTCTCGACCTTTGCTTTGTCTACAACTGGCAAACTTGGCCGAGCAGACAGAAAGACAGGACAGACAGGAGAAACGTCTGCGGCCATGAAATGCTGCTGAACGAAACCTCGTGATTCTCACATCCGTCCCCTGCCTATCTGTTCTTTTAGGTGGACCGCAACAGTGCAGAGGGAGAGTCTGGGCGGTTCGTTTCAAGCAACAACGAAGCTGCAGAGGAGGCTCCGCGCGGCGTTGTGGAAGAGGTAAGATTGCGCACCCCCTCGTGCTCATCGCAGACAGGAGAGACATGACAGACACCTTTTACTCTGTGCGGGCTGCGTCACATTGCGCTTGCTTCAGGCAGAACAGTTTTCTCCGGCGGGGCGCTCACAAAGACCGCCCAAGTTCCGGCCAGCTTCTTCTTGCTCAACTTGTCTCTTCCTCGAAAGAAGCCCACATGATGCTACTACCCTAAGGCCTCATATATCGTCGAGCTTTGCAATTTCACAATTTCATCAGGTTGAGCAGTTCAGGAAAAGATTCATATAAGTCACTCAGTTTTTCCCTGTGCTGTCTACAATCCGTTCTTGCCGGCCGTACCCGTATTGCTGGGCGCCACACAAGAGTCGACCCCTGAATTACTGTCAGAGTGAACCCCCTTTTTCTGGCCTTTTTAGGTAGAAGCGAGCCATGCAACAGGGGGGAGCCGGGCCTCGTCTTTTGAAGCGGAGACGAGCGCCAACGCTTTCCGTGATTCAGCCCCACTCACCACCATGGTAAGGACGAAAGAACGGACCCTTCTCTCCATACGCAGTTGCTGGGGGAGGTCAAAAGCTGATTGATGCATTTAAAACCAGATTTTGAAGCTTTGATGTTGATGTACACCGGTGTGTGCATTGCTCAAAAGTCATCAAGATTGATGTGTACATTGTCAATCGGCAGACATTGCACAGCGTTGTCAATAGATTGTTGCCACTGAGATAGCTGGCCAGGTCGGAGTGCTTTTGAAGCCTGTTGGTCAATGTACACGTTTCGATACCTTCATTGATTAATCACCCTTTTAAAATGTGTACAGAAATTGATATTCTGCTCTGAAACGTCGTTGCAAGGCTGCCAGATTAGAGACTCTTTTCGATACGTTGATTGCTGTCCACGTTTTGATAGCGACCATTGGGTAATAAGCTGAGAATCAGCCCTTCCAAAACGTGTGCAGTGTTCAATAAAGAGGTTTCGGTTGGTGTACATCTACCTTCACATCGTACTCGTTTCTTGCACTGGAGCGTTAGCAGATTGACAGTGTCACCCTCGACGGCTTGCTTGCGGATTTTAATGCAAAGTTTGGAGGCAGCTACAAAGTTGGACACCTTGGAAGTCCTTACTTTTCTCTGACTTAACTTCCGTTAATTACAGTTCCGGATAGTGTTCACTAAACTCCGACAAGGCTCAACGAAACAAGTACTTTGCGGATAATTCCTGAATTGTTTTGTCGTTTGGGTCCGTGACAGAACCTGGCCTTTTTTAAATCAAGCCTAACGGGGTCGCCTTTGCTTTCAGATGGCGGCGGATCGGTTGAGGGAGCTTGGATACCCCGCCTTCTCAGTCGACATCACGTGGGATCGTGAGAAGGGCAAGAAGAGTTTCAAGTTTCCCACCAGCTGGCAGACCTCCACGCTCGCCAACGGCATCGTGCGCCAGAACCACAACTGCCTGGCCATCAACACCAACACCTGCGACCTTCTCGGGGTGGACATCGACACCCACGATGGTGGAATGGCGGCGTGGGAGGCGCTTCAGAACGCACACGGCCCCGTCACCGCGCCCTCCGTGCGGACCGGCAGCGGGGGGGTCCATCTATACTTCTCCCACAACAAGAGCCTGGCAGCCGGCCTTTCTGCGAGCATCCCGACCACCTTCTCAAAACTCTACGTGGATTCAGGCGATGGTGCAGTCTCCAAGGTGGGAATTGACCTGAGAGGGAAGGGCCTGGCCTCTTGCTTGATCGCCCCCGGTAGCAGCTATGTGGACGGGACCGGTGCGAGGGTGGGGTACGAGGTGATCGGCGAGTCGGAGCTCCCCCCAATAACGGACCGGGGGCCCCTTCCCGGCTGACTCATTGACATCCTGAACCGTCATCTACGAGCTTGAAGGCGGCTTGGGACGAGCAGATGCGGAAGGAGGGGCGGGAGAGACGGGCGGGCGGGGCTTCGGCTAGGGCAAGGGGTGGGGAGATGCCTGAGCCGGCTTCTGCATCCTCTGAGCCGGATTTGGCGTCCACCGGTCTCCAGCGAGAGGTGGTGAGGGCGCTGCAGACGCTGCTGTCGAACTGGGGCGACAACACCTCCATCTTCCACAATGCCAAGCCGTCCTCGACAGGGGCAGGGGTCATCTACGACTTCAGGAATGCGCCTGGGGAGCGCAAGGCGTGCCCCTACTTTGCAGCAACGTGCGGGGGCGTGCACGACAGCAACAGCTTTGCGCTTTGGCGGCGGGGCGCTGAAATCACGTACCTGTGCTATGGGGAGAGCTGCAAGACGGCCTCTCGGACGAGCGCCATCCGTCTGGGCATGCTTCCCCTTCCAATCGCAGCAGCTTTTGGGGACAGCCAGCCGCTGAACAGCGAGAGGAACCATCTGTACTCGGACCGGACGTTGTTCCCGCTGTCATTCCTTCGAGACAACCTAAGCATCATGAAAGGTGAGAAACGGGCCTGTGGGTGTTCACCATATTGAAAGTGTAGAGTCACTCCCTTTTTAGAGTTGCACGAAGCACCATGCGGGCCTTAATAGTCGTCAAAGCATTTGCCTGCAAGGTTGTGTTTGCACGCCTTGAGGAGTTTTGGTCTAAGTCTCCCTGCCTTTATTCAATCCTGCCTGTAAATATGTTGAGCTATTATACTTTACAGAGTCACCAGACAGGAAAACAGCGCAGACAGGAGTCTGTCCTGATCTGGAAGCTTGTGAGAATTGACCCCATTTGTGTTGATATTTGTGTCCACGGATAAGTTGGATTTAGCCCTGTGATCGCGTTGAGGCACAGCCCTTTCGGTGTGCCGCATCAAGGTTAGGAGTTCTAAGCAGATGATTACATCGATGCAATTGTATGAGAGTTGTTTTTTCTTGTCGTGTGCAAAGTAGGGGCTCGCAAAACTGTGACTTTATGATTAGCAAGCTATCTCGCGTCTCTCCTATCTTTTTCCGTCTCTGCCCCCTGCTCATTCTAACCCAATATGCTTGCAGGAGATGTGGGGTGCGCCATCATTCTCGAGCGGCTCTACTTCCGAACCGGACTGAAGTTTGCATTCGCTCCTTCGGGCTCCTACTATTGGAACGGCCGCTGCTGGGCAAAGGATGAGAGTGGGGGCCGAATCATGCGCGTGCTCCGAGAGGAGCTAGCCAAAATTCAGACTGCGTATG